TCTGAGGGTTTATGCTGTTCAGATTGATTTCTTCTGAAGCTCTATGTATTTTTCTTTTCCACCTGTGGGGTGATGCTAGTGGAGGTAGTGATGATGACCAGGTTGTGTCTTGGGATTTGAGGGATAAGCATTCTTGTATTTTAAATGTTAGTGTTGATTCCTATGAAGCTTGAAGTTAATTAACAAATAATTATTCAGCAGTTCTGTCTAAATTAACTTTTACTGTTCCTGTTTATTTTTCCTTTGGGTAAGATTGTCTAATGGGATGGGAATTACATAGTTTCAGTGGTAAATTTGAAATGTATAATGAGAGAATTCTCAAATTTGAAGGAAGGAAGTGATAAGGGGTAAATTAAGAATATGAGGTTCTCTGGGGTCCAGGGACAAGGTCAGGTATATAAGTGAGGGTGGCTTTGACAAGAGTGAGTGCTCTATGTCATGTTCCCCAGCACTGAAGCTAGTTTGTGATGAAATGTTCTCCAACTCACAGCAAAATAAGAGAAAGGCAGATGTTGGGAGTTTTATAAAAGCCAACATTTGTTTACTTTATTTGGAGAAACATCATTCTAGTTTGTTTCTGTGTCAAAAACATCCCTTTCAAACAATGCCAAAAATAGATGGTCCTTTTTCCTAATGCCCTCACTCTGTAAAGTTAAAAAAAAAAGTTAATAGAATTTTTTCTGTTCTATCTCATGTGAAATGAGAGGATATGGGATCTTACTGCAGTCACTTACCTGCTCCCCCAGGAAAACAGGTATTAGAGAACAAGAATTAATCCTGGGTTTATGATTTTTCAGTCTATTCCTTCTCTGGCTGAAGAGATCCAGTTGGGAAACTTGGGTATAAATTAAGAGGCCTCTTCACACAAAAGTCAGACTTCTGTGGCTTCCTCCTACTGGAAGTCCTGAAGGAAAATGGCTGTTTGCTTACTTCACAGTCTAAAGATGAACGTAGATGTCCACTGATTGCCACCCACATTAAGCAGCACTTGTTCAGTGCACACAAATGTATAGCTATTTCCCTTAGGAGCGGCATGTTTTTCTGGCTTAATGGATCATCCAATGGCACAAGGTTTTGATTACATTTTTGAAAATAGCATAGATATTAACTTTGCCCTATTATTTTTAAGCACTTTAAAAAGTCCCCTTTGTTTAAATATAAACAAAACTGCACAAACACACAAACATATCAAACTTACAAAGACTTGGGTTGTAGGTATGGCTCAGTGGTAGAGAATTTATCTAGCGTATGAAAGGCTCTGAATTGATCCCTAGCAACACACACACATAAATTACAAAGACTTGACCAAGGATGATTTAAAAAGACTACTTTTGTTTTTGTTTTAAAAGTTTATAGAACTAAAGATAAAAACAGACATTTTATTGAGGCTTTAAAAGATCTACAAAAGAGAAATTATTGTTCAAGAGTTATGCAGTTTCATAAAATCCAAGTGCCTCAAAATGTCATGAGACACAGCTTACTCAGTTATGTGAAATAAGGACCTTTTCTAGCTCCAGAATGCACTCAAACTTCCATGGGAAACATCTGACAAACTCTGAGAACTCACGGCATTGTAATCTTTAAGTACAAGCACAGCACTAAATAAAGACATGATGAGAAATTATATCTAACCTACAGCAAGTGAAAAATAACATATAAACACGTTGGAAAGGATTCTATGAAGAGGTCCCTAATATATTAACTTTATGATGGCCTATCACTTAAACTCATACTTGCACACATGGCTATACACAGGAAAGTAATAAAATAATAGAGTAAAAAGATCCACGTGACAGGAACCATGTTGATAGGATATAATATTCAGGTGGTAGTATGTTTTTCCTGGTTATTACTATTAGATTTTCTTTTCAGTCAAATTGGGTTTGCTTTTTAGTCGAATTTTCCAACAGATACACAGTCAATGATGAAGTAAAAAAGAAAAAAGAATGAATTGATGGCCATTTCCATTCAGCTACATTATTCAGACACATCCATCATATAGCTTGATTACATAGACAATGTAGATATTAAAAAAAATCCACAACTTCTGAGGAGGCAGCTCAGTGGTACAGTGATTGCCTAGCATGTGAGGATTCTGGGTTCCATCCCCAGCACCATAAAGAACAAAAACAAATAAGAAAAAACCCACTGGGTCAATTTTATAACTGATTAACAGATACTTTTAAAGAAAAAAGTGAAATTGTCATAAAGTCTTAAAAACCTATATTATTAATTTTGAATTTCTTCAATAACATATCTATTGGAGAAAAGGCACTAAGTTCCCTCAAACAACATAGAATCGTTAGATTCCAGAAGATGAGCACTAGATGGGGAAGGGAAAGAGGAAGAAATACAAAATTATAAAACGATTATCTGTCAATTACCCTCACAAGGTTCTAAGCACTATGTTAAGCACTTGACATCCATTTAATTCTCACAGTCACACTGGGGTAGGATTGATGATTATATCCATTCTACAGGTAAAGTGTGTGAGTCAGAGAGAAGGTAAGTACTCTGGGGGAAGTCTGCAGGTGGCACATGGTACAGCTAGTATCTGAACTGGAAATGAGGCTGCTGGTGCACCGTAAACACTACCATGTTACTCCCATTCTTTCATTTCCCACACAACATTACAAGGTAGAGAACATCCCCTCCAACTCACAGCTAGGGTGATACCTTGTGGGGCATCATGAAATTCCAAGTGAGGTTTCAGACTCCAAAGCCCTACAGGTGAGGAACACCAAGAGAAGGTTTCTCAACTGGACCAAAGAGAGTCATGGCGTCTATGATGGTCTTTCGGGAAGCTGGCTTGGAGATAAATGATAAAACCTTCCTCTTGGATGGAGTCTGTTCTATTCACAGCAGGGAATTCCAGTCCCTAGTGCAGTACATGGCATATGTAAGGGCTCCCAGCACATTCTCATACTTAACAACCCATCAGTTGTCACACTTGGTACCTCACTGTTCCCTGTCTCTTCCCCCACAGTTTATAAGCTCTTCATTTACTAGGAGCTCACTGTGTACTGGGCAAGTACTGTCCTAGGCACTTGGAATAAACCTGTGAATAAATAAAGATCTTTACTCTTTGATTACTTAACTTTGCACCCCAAACAACTAGCAGAGTATTATGGTTCTCAATAAATATTTACTAAATGAATAAATGAATCAATTAGGAATGGCAGGTAGAAGCCAAGGTGTGTGGGAGGGGACTATATAGGAAAGGATGTATTGTAATTTGATCTCTTAACAGAATCTTATTAAAATCTTAACAAGCTTGTAATTAATGAGGATGATCTTTTTTAATTATTATCATTTAGCTTATCTTTAAAAGTAGAAATGTTACCAAATATATTTTGATTCCAGAAGTGAACTCTGATCCAGGCTCTGAAAGGGAACATGTGTTCCAGGATGCAGCATTTTCTTCTTTGTCATACTCTTGTTTTCAAATGATATTCCCCAGAGCTCAGTCTGTGTTCACTGCTTTCCAAAAGGTGTCTTTCCAAGGCAAGTTTTCTTCCAGTAATTAGAAGCGTTTATCTTAAAGCTCATTTGGTGTTAGCAGTGAGGTTATGGGCTGTCATCTACATTGTTACTGACTCCCCCAATTAGAGGCAATGGCATTTCACCTCCATGCACAATATTAGTAAATTAACAATCCCCACTCTGCATTCATCTGTGGAATCTGCTCTGCTTGTGATGACGAACGTGACAAGTAGGGAGTAATCAGAGACACTGGCAATACCTTCAGTCTTGCACACATCAATTAAAATCCTGGCTCTGTACCTTGTAGTTGGGGGGTGAATTTTTTTTTCATGACACAACATCAGCATTGGTAATTGGTGAGGAAAAACACACAACAACCCTAACCAAAAATAGCCATAGAAACATTCACCCTGATTTCCCTAAATCTTGCCTATTATTCAAGTTCTAATTTTATTCAAGCTTTAATTTAAAAAAATGAACTCCGGCATTGTGAACAATTTTCAGATCAGATTTACAACTCTCTGACATGACAACTTTGACTCAAAGAGCAAACTGTGTGAGTATATCAAGACTGCAAAGAGATTGATGGATCTTTCAGGTTCAAGGGCGTCCTGGTCTAATGAACAGAGTTTTAACCCACGAATGTTAGGTCACAGAAGCTCTGTGGATGGACCCCACTTGTTGGCTAAACCTTGTGAAAAATGTTTGAGATGCCTTTTTGGGGTGTGGGTATGTGTCACTTTCATCAGATTCTCTGGAAGGTCCAGGGCCGAGAGGAGGCTCGGTGAGGCCTGCCTGTCATCCAGCTGCTGTGGTTTAATGTTGTCTTGCAGATAAGGCTTTTTTCAGATGGTCTATGATATTCTTGGTCTTCCCTGTGACTTAGTGTAGAAATCTGACATTGTAGGGAATCTAATCTACTGTTTAGATTCTAAGAACTGAATTAACTAGTGATTCAGTGTCATCCTTCACTGGCTCATTGAATACAATTAACCACAAAACTAAACATTCAAGAAAATGTTAGTACTTGCATTGTATGCGTCAATATTTGCATTGTATGAAACAAGCATGGAGATTAATGCCTACCATGTTAATAGGTGTCACTTGTTTATCACAAGTCAAACCACTAGAAAATTCTTTTATGAAATCAGAATCTCATTTCTTTATGTAGTACATTATGATAAACAAAGCCTAACTTAATTTAAATCTACTGTAACACCATGCCAACTGTTGTTTATAAGTCTATCAATTTTGTTTTCAAAGACAGGCAAAATAGTTGCTTCAAAATACTTTTTTACTTGGGGGTTATAGACTTCTAGATAAGATTACAATTTTTCACCTCTCATAAAAATCAATTAAACTAAAATGAAAGTTTTTAAAAATTATTATGGCTAAATAAAGGCCATTCAGGTCAAAATGATTGATTTTGCAGCCCTCTCCCAAAGCTACTTTTTAAAGTGGAGAAACCTCAGTGAGCACATGGGCCGGTTAGAAATCTGAAAGGAAAGTTAACTTACTGTCATGATGAGCCCCTTTTCCTGGAAGTATTTAACCAATGGAGTGGCATTCTGCTTGAAGTTCATTAGTCTTCTTTGGGTGGCTTTTAGATTGTCATCAGGCCGCCCCTGCTGTTCTGCACGCTTCAGTAATCTTTCTTTGAGTCTCTGGTTGGCACAAGCCAGGAATACCACTAAGTCAGGAGTGCAGATCTGGGGAAAGCATCAGACAAATAGAAAGGCATTCAATAAACCAACATTTGTCTCCTTTAGTTCTGTGGAGGTGCCAGATACTCGGCCCGCTCCCAGCATATCTTCCACACTTATTCTGGGCCCTACAAGGTCTGTGTTCACAAGTCTCGTTACAGTCCCTGTCATTGGCGTACTCCAACCTATGTGGCAGCATGCAGGGGCTCTCCACACTGAAAGAAACATTTCTCTGTCAAAATTCATATAAATTTCCAGGTTGAATGAAGGAACAATTTAGGCCAAATGTTGCCCAACATATATGCAACCTAGTTTTAGAGACAAAATGAATATTAGGCCACAGATGTTGCCCACAGCAAACATATACTTCTCTTGTTCCTACTATTTGCTTTCTATTTGCTGCTATTTTTAAATGGCAGGCCAAAGCTAAACTTTTCCCTTACAATATTGCTAAACTTTGCAACAATCTAAAAGTTAAATATTATCTCGATTTTGTAGATGAACAAACCCTGGCTCTGAGACACAAAGCACTTGTCTGAGAGCACATGGCCGGAAGGTAAAAGCTGGTATTTGAACCCACATCTGTTTGGTCTATGGTCTCTGTTGCTTTCACTATCGCAAAGCACCTCATTGGCCCAAAGGCTTTCATGAATTTCTGAAAATCCCAGGAAATGATATGAAAAAAGCCTAGGAAATAAAGTTTTTATTTGACTAAATTAGAACAAGTATCACGTTGAAAAGGTATTATGACCACCTGAAGTGAATGCAGCTTATTTAGGACAAAGCAAAATTTGCTTTGTGGTTTGAAGTGATAATCTCCATTTTTTAAAAAAATTACATCTTTGTATTAGTAAATTTGGGTAGCATATACCTCAATAAACATATACTTAGCAATTTATAAGTGATGGATTTATATGATATACATGTATTTCCATGCTAATGTAGGACACATATTATAAAATACAAAAATTTTCAAGAGCCAGATATAATTATTTTAATTTGTAATGGGAAGACCCACATCCCAGTGTTTTACCTTGTGTATTCTGGAGACCACTAGGTAGGAAATGGACTTTGAAAGCTGGGACAATGTGGATCCAAGTTTTGGCCCAGACTTACCAGCTGAGTGATGGGCATATGGTTTAACCTTGCTAAGCAGCTGTGTTCTCATTTGCCAACAGAGATGAATGGATCGATCTCCCTGAGATATTACAAAGATTAAATAAAATGAAACATCTCACACAAACTCAAGAAATTTAAACCATGTTTAGTATCTCTTGGTTTTCATGGTTCCATGTGTTCTTGGTTGTCCTTTTAACTTCTCGTTTTTTATTTTGTTGTTTTCCTCTTTGCTCATATTTTTCCCCTCAAAATCCCAAGTGACAGTGTTTACCAAGGCTTGGATGGTATTTTCTTCTCTCTCTGTTTTTCATTCTCTCAGTGGCTTTCTTAACCCCGTCTACAGAAGGAACTGAAGTCTAAACTTTTGGTACTAACTTCTAACAGCCCTTCAGTTCTGTATTTCCAAATGTCTATGTGATTGTTCTTTTTGTAAGTCTTAAGTTACTTGTGACTCAACTATGCCAAAAATTAACCTCAGCACCTTTCTACCTAAATCAAATTTCTTATTTCTTTAATTATTTTTATGGTAGTCACACTCCCTCCCCAATTTTCTCAGCTGAAGCCTTAATATTTGATGCCACCTTTCACCCCTCTTCATCAAAATTTCAATCTAGATGATTGAAATGATTTTTATCGTGGAAACGTCATTCAAACTTCTCTTTCCTGTTCTCACTGCCAGGTAAGGACAGCCACACTAGGAAAAATGATTAAGAGAGTAATTTTAGAATCAGATCGTCCTGATTATTTGTTTACTGATTGATTGCGGTACTGGGGATTGAACCTAGGGTCTCGCACGTGCTAGGCAAGTGCTCTGCCACCTGAGACACACTTTCAGCCCTTTTGTCTGTATTTTGTTTTAGAGATGGTGCCTTGCTAACATTGCCGAGGCTGGCCTGGAACTCGAGCTCCTCCTGCCTTCACCTCCTGAGTAGCTGGGATCACAGTGTGCACCAACATGCCCTGCTCATCCTGAGTTTTAATCTAGAATCTGACATCCATTAGGTGTTGGTCCTTGGGCAAATTACTCAGTCCCCCTGAACTTGCTTTCTCAACTGTAAAATAAGGGGGAAGCTCCCAATGTAGGAATTTAGTATTACCAAAGTTTAAAAAGGACATAAACCACTTTTGACAGACCTTAAAAATTTAGAAAATCACTTGTAACTATTTCATGATATACGATAGAGAGATTACCTGAAGTTAAAACTTCTGTTTTATTAACGATTATATTTAGAAATGTGTATTTCATATAACCTGGCAATATTCAGCCCTTCCTGATATAGTAAAGGGCACATTTTAAAGTTTACTTTAAATAAATTATGTAAGGAAGAAGACAAGTTTTGATAGATAAATTAAAATGATATTGTTATCATGTTTGATTTCATCATATTAAAACACAGAGAAAACCCCCTGGAAGTACCAGGTTGGTATTGAGTGTTGATAAAAGAGTCTTGTATTTTTAAATTCTTTCCTTTTTCACTTTAAAGAATTAAATGGTTAACCAATGTACAATATAAGCCTAATTGGAATTGTCACTATGAATGTATCTTAATAAAAAATTTACAATTAAAAAATAAAGAATTAAATGATTGATGTCAATACATTTATGCTTTATTTTGAACTGAAGGCAAATGCTTCTCTCCATGCAAAATGTTGAGGTCCTAGGTAACTTTGTGCCTATATGCAATCATTACTATATTTTATCTTTTACCATTGGCTTTGGAGTAATAAAAACAGCCAAATATTTATTTTTATACTTTGAATAGAATTACATTGTTTTTAAGTTAGTAAGCTTTTTCTAATAGTTTATTTATTTATTTTTTTGGGTGGTCCTAGAGTTGGAACTCCAGGCCCCATGCTTGCTAGGCAAGCACTCTACCACGTGAGTCACTCCCCCAGCCCTTTTTGCTTTGGTTATGTTTCAGATAGGGTCTCACTTTTGCTTACGCCTGGCTTCAGACAGTAATCCTCTTACTTACACCTCTGTATAGCTGTGATTATAGACATGAACCACCATGCCTGGCTTGTTCTTTGAGATAAGGTCTTGCTAACTTGGACTGGTCTCGAACTATGATCCTATCCCACCTCCCAAGAGCTGGGAAACAGCCATGAGCCACCACACCTGGCCTTTTTAATAGTCTTATATTTATGAAAAAATTGAGTGGCCTATATAAGATTTTTTAATTGTGAATGCAACTTCTACTCTGACAAAAATGACCTTCATGTGAATTTGCAAAATCATTTAATTTTATAACTATGGTTAGTTTGCTGTCTTTCCTTGATGTAAGTTAAAAATATGACTGCGAATAAGAAAATTAAAACATAAAACAGACAAGACCACCACAGCAGCTGGGGATAATGACCTGATTGCAGGGACACCCCCAATACAAGCCACTCACCTGATTTCTAGTGACCCCCCCATACACCACATACAGCCACTTGCTATGGTCTCATGCTCTCCAACAGTGCTCCATTTTAAATGGAAATAATATGTAAATTGTTTATGTTTTTCCCCCAAACTTTTTTTAAAAAGCAGATAGCATTCTATTTCCAAAGATGTGAACCCCCAAGAAAGTGTTCCATGAAATCCACTTGTAAACATTGGGAAGTAGCACCATCAAAATGGCTGCCAGAGGACCCTTGGCACACCTCTTCTTAGCCCATGTTCCCCAAAAGGTGTGAGCTGATTGAATGACTGAGCCAGGAAACCTAAAAAGCAAAACAACCCCCCCCAAAGAAAACCCACATGAAAACAAAAACAGGCCATCACTTTTGTCCACCTGGAAGCAAATTTCAAATTGCTGATATTGTTTGCTCCATTGGATCAAATAAATCAGTGTTTTTTTTTTTAATTTCTGTTATTACAGACAATTCAATCTTCCTCTAGTCATTTCTTAAGTCCTTACTTGAACCATTGTTCTGTTCAAAAGAATCAGCAACTGCCTTTGTATATTCAGAGACATTCAGGCTGCAAAGTGAATTTATTTTAATATTCCCCATTCCCCACTGGCAGGGTCTTTCACTGTCCTGTTCTTTACAAAGACACAGTAAGAGGGTCTAGACTGTATTTTGGATCAGCTACACAATCAGAAACCAGGAAGCAAAATACTAAAGAAAAGGGAAGATCACAGCTTATATAAAAACTGAAACCAAAGAAACTAAAAGATGGAAAAAAATGGAGGTTATCTAACCCAAATTAGTGCCGAACCTGTAATCGTCTCCATGTTCTGGTGACAAATGATTTTCAAACTTGGGACATTTAAACTCGAATGTCTGCCCTGTGCATTTCTTGTAGTGGGTACTTATGAGACAGACTCTTTCATCACTTGACCACTCTAACTGGGGAGTTGTTTTTAATACTGGCTTAAAACTTGCCATTCTGCCTACAGGAAAAATGCAAAATAAATTACTTCTCTTACCACTAAACATTTATTAAACACATACCATCACCACTGAGGCTAGGTCAGGTCATTATAGAAGAAAAAAAGATATCTGGACTTTACTATCATTTTAACATATAGATGATTTCTGGGCAGGGCTTTGAACAGACTGTGGGGTCATGGGACCAAAACCACAATCTGTGGCCCCCAAGAAGGAGAGGCTCTAGGAAGCATCACTCCTGTTCCCACCAAAGGTTTCTGTTGCAACCCCTAAGTCCATGCCATGAGACTGTGTGAGCCAAGCTTGCCAGGACTAAATCCCATTAGATCCATCTCAAAACCTCCTTACATTAAGGTGACTGATCCAGTAGGACTTGGCATGTGGGCTATCGTTTGCTGATCCCTGCTCTACAATAACTAGTAAAAAGTTGTAAAATAAAATACAGGAAGCAATCGAGCAGAAGATAAGAGTTAAAGAATAAGTGTAAAACAGCAGATTCAAATCCAAAT